GGACCGGGACCCTTGGGCAGAGAATCCCACCTCCAGCCACTACTTACGCAGCTGCCCTAGTGTAGACGAACCCCAGGAGCCATTTCCAACCCTCCCCTTTCCAAAGAAGTCAAGCTGACCAGATCCTCAGGGAGTCGCATCGTGCCCAGCCCCCTGTGCCAGGCCGAATCGGCGCTGTCTAGACCATCCTAGCCAAGGGGAAGATCCCATCCTAACCTCAAATACAGCACCAGACCGACCCCGAGCAGAGGGCCAAGACCCTCCAGCCCGGACCCTGCGGGGTTGGAGCCAGCAGGAGCATTAGCACAGCCCAGGCCCATCCCCAGCCTGGGCTGCAGCCAGCACCCAGCGCCTCCAACGGAGGCGAAACAAAAGCCTTGCATTAAAAGGAAGAAAAAAACCCCTCTGTAAACTTATCCCGGCTGCTTTCATCCGCTTTCCGAGCCAAGCCGGGTGCGGAGCTCTGCTTCCCACTCCTTCCCCCGGCATCTCTCCCACGGCCGCCCGGCTCTAGCAGTGAAGAAGTTTCCCCCAATCTCTGCTCGAAACCTGCTTTGCTGCAGCTTCATGTCCCCCACCCCGGCTTGCAGCACGAGAGCACAGGTGCTTTCCCTCTTCTCCGTGGCAGCCCTCCAGGTACATGCAGGCTGCTTGCACGCAAAGACTCTTGTACGTGCCCGGGTCTCACACCCTGGCCCCGTACAGCTGCCTCCCAAGCTCTTTCCCATTTCTGTCGCCCATCTCCGGACCCTCTCCACATCCTGCTTTAATTGCAGATTAGCGCGCATAATCCCTAAACAGTGCCGAGGAGAGGCACGATCACCTCCTGTGTCTTGCATCTAGTGCTCCTATTGAGCATGTTTGCAGAGGTCTGTCCAGGGCCAGGGGCTGTTCAGCGCGTGCAGTCATGACTTGGACGCCGGCACAGAAAGCTTCTGGCGTGAGTCTGCAGACGACATGAGACGGGGCAGGACGCGAACCTGCTGGAGGATGCTAGTGCCACCCAGACGGAGCTGGACAGATGGGGCAGCTGGGCTGGAGCCAGCAGGACAAAGAGCACTGCTGACAAATGCAAGCTGCTGCGTCTCGGGGCGAACCCTGAAAACACAAGATATACGAGAGGTGATGACTGGTGGGACGGCCGCACCGCGGGGAAGGAGCTGGGAGCATGCCATGGGATCACAGCCCCCACATGAGGGTGCAGCGTGATGCAGCGGGTGCAACATGGTTTTGGTTGCGTCGATGCAAGCGTCGGGGCGCGCCGTGGGAGGTGATGGCGCCTCTCTGCCCGGCACTGGTCAGGCTCCTCTGCGGCCCGGTGCGGTCCTGGGCTCCAGAAAAAGGCCGTGGAGACGTTGGCGAGGGTGAAGAGGCAGCGAGGGGGATGATCGAGGGCTCGGAAGGCAAGAGGCCAGAGGAGCCAGGCACGTCCGGCTGGCGGAAAAGGCGCTGAAGAGGGGACACGAGAGCAGTGCGCCGACCTGCCGGGCTGCCAGAGAGCAGAGGGAAAGCCCCGTCCCCAGTGCAGATGGAGGACTCGGAGCCACGGCTTGAACTTGCAGCAAAGGAGGTTTGGACGGAGATCAGGAAACACTTCACTGCTAGTGGGGGACATGTCGGGGCAGGGGGCCTCCAGCGCCAGAGGAGTCAAGGAGTGGAGGGGTGGGCACCGGTGCGGGGTGATCGCAGCTGGGGATGGGGCTGGGCTGTGCCAATGCTCCTGCCGGCACCGACCCCGCCGGGGCCTGCCTGGGGGGTCTTGCCCCCGCGCTCGGGCTCAGACCAGCACTGCACTGGGCAGGAGGGGATTTCCCCCTGCTCAGACTGGTTGCACTGGAGGGTTTTGCCTTCCTCTGCAGCGGGGGCCCGGCCTCAGCCTGGGATCGATTTTAAGTGCACTGGTGTCTGGGCAAAGAGCCTTGGAGTTGTGCAACAGGGTTGCTGTGTAGTCTCAGGAACAGGTTCAAGAAGGACTTGTCCGGAGGGGTTCGGACAGAGCTGATCCTGCCTCAAGCAGGGGTTGGACCAGATCCGAACCCCGCAGCTCCCTGCCGGCTGCGCGGCACTGGGATTCAAGGAAAACCACGTGCACCTTTTGCATGGTTGCATCACACTGCAGACTTGTGCTGACTTGGTGACGCACCAGACCCGTCTCTGGGGTGCTGCTGTCCAGAGAAGCTCACCCAGTTTGTAGACGTATTGTTGGTTTATTCTTTCCAAGATGCGGCCCCCTGCGTTCGTCAGCAGCAAACTCCATCCCGTTTGCTCCAGCTCGGCTTTCCCATCTCTGGAGACCTTCCTGTAGCACACCTCCATCCTCCGGCATCTCCACCGTCCTTCCCAGCATCGTGCCCTCTGCAAACTCACTCCAGAAGCGTTGCATGCCAGCATCCAAATCATTAATATGTGCGCTGAACTGCCGTTGGCCCAAGGCAGACCTCGGGGGATCCCACTCCAGATCTCTTGGCATTCGGACATGGATCCACTTATAATCGCCCTCTGCTTGTGACTATCGGGCCAGTTGTCTGTCCACCTTGTAGCAGTTCTCTCCGGTCCATCTGCCTCCAGCCCGCTTACGAGACGGGTGTGTGGGACCTTGTCAAAAGCCTGGCGAGAGTCCAGATGCACTCTCTCCACTGCATCCCCTTCGTCCACCAGCGTAGTCCTGCGTCCAAGAACCAGACCAAGTTTGTCTGCCACGATTTGTTCTTAGCAGGTCCACGCTGGCTGCTCACGATCAGGTGCTTGCAGTTGGGCTTCACCATTGAGGGGAAGCAACCGGCTTATAGTTCCTGGATCCTGCAGGTTACCTGTTGTTGAGAAGTGCTATGTTGGCCCCTGGCTAGTCTAGGGTTGGGTATCTGACCGCTCAAAGTTTGCTCCATTGAGCGGTCACATATCAATCAAAAAATGTGGGAAAAAAATTGCCAATAGATCCAAGTAAAATGCAGAAAAAGCAGACATTTTCCATTAAGAAAGCATAGAAAATTTGGGTTGGAAGGGACCTCAGGAGTTCACATCTGGTGCAACCCCCTGCCCTGCTCCAAGCAGGACCAGCCGCGACTACATCATCCCAGCCAAGGTTTTGTCTAGCTGGGTCTTAGACTTTCAAGGATGCAGATCCCCCCACCTCTCTGGGTGACCTGTCCCAGTGCTTTACTGCCCTCCTTGTGAGAGAGTTTTTCCTAATATCCAACCTCAACTTCCCTGGCTGCAGCCTGAGCCCATTGCTCCTTGTCCTGTATCTGCCCCCACTGAGACCAGCCCAGCTCCATCCTCTTTGCAGCCCCCCTGCAGGGAGGTGAAGGCTGCTATTCAATCCCCCTCGGTCTTCTCTTCTCCACACTAAATCAGCCCAGTTCCCTCCCTCTGTCCTTTGCCCCAGCCCCACAACCATTTCCATCCCCCTCCGCTGGACTCTCTCCAACGTGTCCACATCCTTTCTGTCGTGGGGCCCACAGCTGGACACAGGACTCCAGATGTGGCCTCCCCAGTGCTGAATAGAGGGGAAGGATCACGTCCCTCCATCTGCTGGCACCGCTCCTACCAGTGCATTTAGTTCAGTAGCCACCAGAAAGGAGCTGGACTGAGGTGACTAATATGTTAAAACACAGTAAAAAATCATGTTTCAAGCAAGAAAACTACAAAAAAAAATGTAGGGCTTGTTTGTAAAACTGTTATAATCTTTGACCAGTCAAAAAAAATATGCAGTCAGTTGCCCGGCTTGCCCCACCCTGTGCCAGTTTTCTGGGACCTCACCCATCTCCCACAACTGGGCCTATCTTATCACCAAAGGCTCGGAGACCCTGCCCGCCGGTTCCTCCGCCCTGGGATGGTGCCTATCCGGCCCCGCTGCCTTGCACTCATTTGCACGGCTCAGAAGGTCTCTGACAGCGTCTTCCCCATCTCAGCCCCCGGCCTGTCCCCTTCCTTGCCTCTATAACTCTCATTAGCCACCTGGTTGGTGACAATTGAGGAAAGTAGCTGCTTTCCCAGCTCCTGCTCAGAGCTTGCCCTGCCTGGCGCCCCAGGGCTCTCTCTCCTGAGCTGCTATCTACAGACCCCCCACCCCTTGCGGCCTCATCGCCTTTGCCCCCCGGATTTAGCCCATGCCAGCCCTGGCTGTGTCCTGCCCCGCATCCCTTTGCTGTAGTCAAGAAACCCAAGAAAGTCGCGAGCTGGGATTTTTCCAACCTTGAGTCTCAAATGGGACGCGTGACGCAGAGGGTCGTGGCCAGAGGGTCTCGCCGCTCCGCTCAGTCAGCCCCGATCGCTGCATTGGGGGTCCCCCCGCTCAGATCGGCACTGACTTGGGGGTTTTGCCTTCCTCTGCAGTGGGGTGGGGGCACGGCCGCTGCCCAGGCTCTCTCGGGGTGCTGATTGGGGCAGGGGGCTGGACTGGATGCGACCGCCCAAGGGCCCTGCCTTCTCCACTTGTTCCCAAAACACCCCTACCCGCAAACCCTCGACTCGCCCCTACCGGTGCAGTGCACTATGGGATACTTGCAGCCACGTTCCACCCCAGAGGCAGCCGCATTTCCTGTGGCCGCACTGACCGCGTCTCTCCCCCTGGCAGGAGCGTGGTCGCCCCCACCGACCTGGGCCGTTTCGACAGCATGGTGATGCCGCTGGAGCTGGAGGCTTACGATGCCCTGAAGAGCAGAACAGGTATGGGGAGACACCCCCCAGCCCTGAGGTGTCCAGCTTCCCCCAGCCTAGTCACACGGGGTCAGGGCCCTGATCCGGCCAGCAGCCCCGTGCCCGCCAGGTGTTGGGCACAGAGGCGAGCTGGGGCACGGGAGCATCATCAGGACCCCCCCCTAACCCTACTCTCGCCGCCCACAGTGAGGTCACCCGCGCTCCGCCCGGCGCAGCACGACGTGCCCCCGCGCCGACACCTCATCACGCCCGTGCCTGGTCAGTGCCCGATGCCCCCCCGTCCCAACCCCAGGGGCTTCCAGATTGGGGTGGGGGGAGGCTGGGGCAGGTCCGGGGTCTTCCCAAATGATCCTGGAAGCTGGGAAGTGGTAAGGCTCCAGGGGAAGGGCAGTGTCGGGGTCCAAGGGAGGGGATGGGGGGGGTCTGGGGATGCCTCCCTTCATGGCACACCCCCCCACCCGCAGATTCCCGGGGTGGCTTCCTGCTGCGGTCACTGGACCCGCTGGAGGCGGAGGCAGCGGCACTGCCAGGCGGGCCGGGGGGGGC